GGTCACTGGGACATTTAGTGAACTCATTATTAAGTTACAAAACTGAACCAAAGAACACAAGTCAACAGAAGAGTCGCACTTTGTAATGAATCACAGATTAAGTGAAGCTATAACCTTCACTTCACCGTGGTGATACAGACAGGATCATAAAGTGATCCAGTGGCAGACTCCAGCTACCCAGACCTTCTGAAATTGGTGCTGGCTCTTTTGTACAGTGTAGAGCAACACTGAAGCATGATTTCTGGTTAGTCGGCATGCCTATTTGTTCCACAAGGGGAGGCATTACAACGGATTTATGTGTTTGAGTCGATGGTGACTTCTCACAGCTTCCTATCCGGAATTCCCTCAGACTGCTGGTGGCTGCAGGCGTGTAATTTGTGCCAGATTTGCAATGCGGTATCCACCCTCTGACCCCACCACAGAGACACGCTGGAACTGTGCCACTATTTATTTTAGTCCCTATTAGCCACCACCAAGGAAGCAACTACTCTTCCAAACAAGTAAACATGACGTCATAACACAAAACAATAGTATCACAAACTTCAAAGCAAAAGATACAATAAAACAACAAAAATAAAAACTACTCATAACAATAATAACAACAGCAAATGCATCAGCCCACATTATATCTTAGTGTATAACAGGACTATACTGGGAAAACTGTTAATTAAAACATTTGATACAGCTCAAAAATGAGTATTTATGCAGCTAAAAGTAACAAATACAGTGTGTTTATCTACAGTACTTCTCATTTCAAATAAGAAAAACCATAATGAAACATGTTCTATGTGCTTTAAGGTGAGAAATGCACTCAAAAGTCATGTTGGCACGTCTATTCATAGATGTACAGGATGTAAAGTGCATATTAAAGTGTGGTGATGAGTGGTTTAAAGGATTTTGCCTTCAAAACAGGGACAAAGCAAAAACTGTTTGGGGATCACTGAGCAAGTGAGGCGGGTGATGCACCTACATGCTAATGTGAGCTCTTATAATGGGGCCCCAGCACCTTAAGAAAAACAAGTGTGTCTCCAGCAGGTACCGTGTGTGTCCCCATGTTCCAACACAGACATAAAAAACTACACTTATGGCAGAAAAAGCCTGATTACCAGACCTAAACCACGATGCCACAGTGCACATCTCCACGCATGTTGCTGAACAAGGATGATGCATGGTATATGATAGACTGTTGTTGTGTTCAAGACTGTTTCCCAACTGATTTATGTTTCTCCTTACCTCTGCCCCAACCCAAGTTTAGCCCTAGCCCCAGCCATCTTCCTCTGCTCCACCTGACCTGTAAATCTCCCTCCAGAAACACTGTTCCAAGACGAGACAAATCCGGTGAAACGACCCATGAGTTAGTCCTGTCTGTCAGTTCTTTCAAATTTCACCAGTCTCTTTTATACTTACAGTAAGATGAAAATCGTTAAAAGAGGTCTACGATCTTTTCATTTCAAATATTTAATTCCTAAAACTGCTGGGCACTGTTGTTCTTAGTGCATGTTACTTAAACAGGAGTAAATAGTGTATTTATTGAAGAAAAGTTCAGCAGCACATTTAATGTTTTCCTAAATATTTCCAGCAACAAGACAGTGAATGTGGGTTGAGCTCAAAATACAGATCCTGTGTTGAGTGTAATAAAGGAAGATGTCACCAGTCAACAGTAGTTTTAACTATTTTTGGACAACAATGGACAACACTGTCTGGTATCTGGATCTATTCATTGTTGGCTTTCAGCTTTTTAGGGGGTTTGTGATGATTAAAAAGTGTAATAATAATAATAAATAATAATAAAAATGTAATAAATAAATAAACAAATAAGAAAAGTGCATAATAACAATAATAATAATTTTCAATTAATGGCTGGGAAAATATATTTAAAAAACATATTTTCCTAATAGGCAATAATAAATCAGTGTGGTGATGTCTGAACAATAGTTTAGACCTGTGAGGCTACAGGGAGGTGGCGCTTTGAGCTAAATGCTAACATCAGCATGCTAACATGCTGATGTTTAGCCGCTATAATATTTATCATGTTCACAGTTTCTGTTAGTAAACTATGTTAATATTTGCTAATTAGCACTAAACACAAAGCACAACTGAGGCTGATGGGAATGTCATTTGTTTCATAAGTAATATGAACAAATTTGTCTGGATCAGATGTAAAAAAAAATCACCAGTTATTACAGTTCATTCTCTGAGCATCTTGAATATCTTTACCAGGTTGCAGCTGTTGTTACTGTAATTTCAATAACAGCCAGCGATGTAAACCTCATGGTGGCGCTAGAGGGGAAGTCAAGGGTATACCACAAGTTATTATAATTCATCCTCTGGGGTCAATAAATGTCTCTCTTGTAAAGTGATGGACTGACATTACATGTAACAGCTCAGACATGGAAGAACCCCCCCTCCACTTTGTGCTCAGGCAGAGCTGCTAGTTTCAGAGATGTCTGAAACAACATACCTCAGTGGGTGGCAAACCAAAAGCATGCTGTGGCCTCCTCTTCATGGATAAATGGGTCCTCTTCTTCTGCAGATGAGCAAAAGAGCATTTTACAGCTCCATGAAACAAGAGAACTGATAAGAATACTTCAACATGTATCTTTAAAGAGCCCATGGCACGTTTCCTTGTTTTCTGACTCTCGCTCACGAGACTTTTTTTCTAACAAGATAAAGTATTACATAATAGTTTAAGGATTGCCTTGAATAGGTATAAAATCCAGGCCATTGCGTGTTCATGTGAGCTTGCCTGACATCCACCAGTGCCCCTACCATATTGGCAAAATGTTATACTGCCTTGCTCGTTATGTGTATTTTCAATAAAGCTTATGTAAAAGAAAAAAACCTAACCTACAATCAGCCGGCCTGTGAAGACCCCCACGGTGGTGGATGATCAGCTCATCAATGCTGGATTCCCCCGGGTGCCTGTTTGTTTTGACTGCTGGAGGCTGGTGTGTCTGCTTCATGTGGTGTGTTGCTGGTTAACGAGCGGATTAAGGAGCCGTGATTTTATTGTTGGTGCTACGCTACCTGAACTGTATGCGGTTGTGTGTATTCATTGTGCTGTCCACTTGTGACACAACACCGGCAACAGGAACTGTGCGCCTTCACAAACTATCCTCTCTGTTTAAGGAAGAGACTCTCTGGCTCTCTGATTCTCAAACAATTACAAACTATTTGGAGTTATGAAGGGTGCCAAGCTAATCTAGAGGTACCCAAGATTAAACATTAAATGGCTGGAAACTAGCAAAATGAGCATGACATGGGCACTTTAAGTTCCAAGCCAACATGTACACACAAAATCTTTGTAGAGCACACACTGATTCACAAACTACGAATGCATTCTTCATGGGTCCTAGTAAATGTCCGGGACAGGCATTCTTCATGGGTCCTAGTAAATGTCAGTTACAAAGTATGTGTGAGACACCGTAGCTGATAGTTGAGGGGATTTGTTGACATTTAATGTGCTATTACTGAATAATCAGATAACACATTAAAATCAGTTTATGCATCTTTTACAATGTTTTAAATTAAGTTAAGGCTTATTTACCTTAATAACTTATGTTATTTTTGCTTATTAAGATACCCAGAGTCTTGAGTGCTGCAGATTCCTGTGTCTGGCTCATGTCCCATGTGGGTGCTCAGTGCTCCTTCACCACAGCGTCGGTATCTGATGTCTGACTTGAAGCAGCCAAGGCTCATTGAAGTGGCTGAATGTACTGCCAATGGTATTTGTAGATGACTTGGGTTTGCTGATGTGGCTTGGAGGGACAAATCATCCATTTGCCACTGATTTGTTTTTTGTTTTTGTTTTTTTAACCCAGGGCAGCAAGAAAAAGACATTCTTGCCATTCCAGGGTCATCTGCTGATTGGTTACAGACTTAACACTTACTGTACCTTTAGTTTGCTGCCTGACCTGTGTCAGTATGAACCAAAAGCAGCTTTTAATATGGGGTCATAACAACAGGACTAGACTAGCCTGGGATGAAGTAGTTATATAAGGCCAAACACTAAGACAGGCCACCTGAGGAGTTTATTCAAATTAAAGAACTTCCTATATATGACTGGATGATTTCCATTGTAAATTTGAAAGCTGGCAAGACAAAGAGAATTTACATTCATGTTTGCTGCGCAAGTTCTCCGAACGACTGCACACTCATGTTTAGATGTTAGGCAAGCTGAACTTTACAGACACATTCTTTGGACAAATTCAGTCCATTTGTTCTGTCAACCCAACAAAAACAAACCTCAGCCGGTGACAGTACCAGAAACATATCCGATCAAAACAAGACAGTAAAAAGATAAATATCTGAAGAACAAACCTTAGTCCCTAAATTCCATTAAAAGACTCATTTGAATATTGCAAGTTTAAAATCGCACCTGGAAACAGGAATTTGATTTAAGACAAGATTTTCCTGCATCATGATGTAAGTATATTTACTCAGATACAGTACTTAAGTACAGTTTGGAGGTACTTGTACCTTACTGGGTGCTTCTATTCTATCCAATATTATACTTCTATGTCTTTAAATTGAATTGCTATTAGTATTAGTATTAGTTTACCTTTGACACTGCTTTATTTGATAGTTTGATTACTTTGTTTTTACATACAAAACAAATGATTAGGTTATTCAAACTGTTATAAACTAAATTTGTCTGCATTATACAATATAAAGGAGTAAAACATTAGTTCAGCCTTGAACAGCTACAACAATAAAATGCTTAAACATTATTTGAGTGCATAAAGAGCACTCTAGGTTTTATATATTTTCTTGCTAACACATCTGAGTAAAACTTTGACTGAAAAGCTTTTACTTGTATTGAAGTAGTAGTCACAGTGTCTCCGGTGATAAATGCATCACTATCGCGTTATATTTTAAATATTCGTGTAAAACTATTGTGGATTTTTAAGTTTTAATATTTGTGTTCCTGTAACACTGGGCCTCTGGCAGCCAGCTCCGCCCACCCAGCTATAAGAGTCCAGCTGACCAGGTGGTCAGGGTCCTTAAACAGGCCAACACAAAGTGACTTACGAAAGGTCTTTCAGCTTATTAAAACCTCTAGTTACTAGTGGCTATAGGCAGCCTTTGTGCCATATTGAGATGTACGGATAGTTCCTGCGTTTGTTTTCGGACTGATCTCACGGAGGATTTGGAGCTGGGGGTTGTAGCCTATCCTTTAATGATGACTTTTGCCATGCTGCGGCCTGTGGCGACGCACTTGATCTATTCAGACTTCACTGTCACGTCTGAGGATGATGAAAACCGTAGCGAAAGCGACGGCTGCTCCGAACAAAGTTACTGCGGCACCTCACAAAAACGCAGAAGGATTTCACGCAGACTGGAAGGAGACTCGGCGGTGGTCATGAAACAGAGGAGCGCTGCAAACGCCAGGGAGAGAGGCAGGACGCAAAGTGTCAACACCGCATTCACAGCTCTTCGGACTCTCATACCCACCGAGCCAGTGGACAGAAAGCTCTCCAAGATTGAGACTCTTCGCCTGGCATCCAGCTACATTTCCCACCTGGCTAACGTGCTTCTTACTGGAGACGGCGGCGCCGACGATCAACCGTGTCTTGGAAAGGTTCATGCGCAAGAAGAAAGCGGGACGAAGCAGCCGCGGACCATCTGCACCTTCTGTTTGAGCAACCAGAGAAAAGGGGTAAATGCTGTTTTACTGAACGTCCATAGTCGAATAGGTTTCAAATGGCCTACAGTGTAGCTTAAATACAACTGGTCGTTAAATGGACAAAATATGTCGCAGTGACCGGATGACACAAAACAGGCTCTGTCAGCTCTGAACCCAGACACGCTGTTGGTCTTGATTTTGCTTCAGAAGAGGTTTCAGTCTAAAGCTGCACCTGACTGCCGTTTTATTGTGGTCATTTATATGTAACTCAACTATTTTGTCTTGGGTGTGTGCGTAAAAATGGCGTTTACGCACTGCAGGTCTTGGAGTTGATAGTAAATTCCTCACTCAGACATTTTCACACATTTTATCTTAAACTTGATCTTGACTTGATCTGTTTTATTTATTTAAGGTGTCCATCCCATATGGGCTTATAAGACACTCAACAATCATCATCTAGTATACAAGAGCAAATTAATAAGACATTACCACAAATTTCCAAAAAGTTAAATAACAGGTGGATGCAGTATTCTCTGTCTTAGTTGCCTGGAATTTTCAATAAACCTCACAAAACAAAAAATTTCCTCCTTAAAAAGCCAAGTAAACATAATATTTTCAAATAACCAAATTGTAACTGAATTTTTTCAAACTGGTGATTCCTTTTCTCACTATACACAGGTTAATGGAACACAAAGCTCATGTTCAACCACCCCAAGATCACAAACAGTGCATAAGCACGGCTCCTCAGGAAAACCTTTATATCTCCCTACTACAGCTGCCAGTTCTTCACGGAGCACACAGGGACCTTTGCCTTCTCTGTAAATTAAATGTAATATATGGTTCTGTGGAATAATCAGCCTTAATGTAGAATCCTAAATTTAGGTTCACTCCAAATCTCTTCCTTCCATTGGTCCTGGTGAATTTGCAATTCTTGTTTAACTGTCTATGTCACACTGCAAATTATTTATAAAAAAAATTAAATCTAAACCACAAGAGGGACATACTGCAGCTGCTTCTCTTGACCAAGGATAATTATGTGCTCTGTTCCAGTTAAAGATCTTTTTGGATCCTTTTCCAGAAGAATTTCACTGTAATGCAAAACACAATGTGACACACAACATAATTTTGAGCATCCACTTGCATGTGGAACTTGTTTGTAAGTGGGTTCTTGATTTGTAGGAAATAAAAAACCATGTCTTTGTTTACCTAGAAAAAAGTATAGTGACTGAGACATTATCTTTTTATTTCCAGATCAAGGATGGCAAAGACTGTTTAAAAATGCGAGGGCTGGGTCCACTGCGAATGAGACGCTGATTGAAGACCAGTGAATGATAAGTAACCTGAAATCCTCAGAGACTTTCTCAGGGAAGAGTCAGAGCTGGTGTTTCATGGTGCACAAACACAAACACACACACACACATGTTCACATGCTGGATCAAATGGTGGAAGCAAAGATGAGACTATTTATACTTGACTGAGAAAATTAAGCATAAGTCTTTCAAAGATGCAGTGCATTTGTTTGAAACTTATGAGTTTTTGTTCTTTTTTAAAATAAAATATATTTTATCAAAATAAAAGTGATTCCTTTTTTCCTGGTTCCTAACATATAAAAACTGGTTTGTGGTAAAACACACACCTGTGGCATAAACAAAGCTGTCAAACAAAATGATGTTGCCTTTTTAAAACTTATTTCAGGATTCTTGTGGTGATGACTGGGACACTGGTGTAAAACAAAATGCATGCAGAGCACAGTGATGGAATGAAGCACAGAATAAAATCAGCTAATCTTTCCAGGACTAACAATTTGAGTCCATCTTTGTTTCAGGCTGGGGGACATTTGAGAAAGCAGCTGAACTGCCGTTTGGAAAGTGACTGTCAAACATTTACAATTCAAGTAAAAGCTTAAAATTTCTTTGACAAAAAAAAGCTCAGTGAACATATTGTGTTCATCTTAAGCTCCATTTGTAAACGTGGATCTTCCTAATCACCAGTTTAGAGGATAAAGTGCCTTTTATGTCTTTGTTAAAAGATGTCACACGCACAAACACACCCATTGTTTCCAGTAATATTGCCAAGACATTGTTTATGAAGCCTGCAGGGTTTCTGGTGTCACTGCCTGGTGTATTTTCCAAATCTCACGATTGGTGTTTTTTGAAGTCTGCTGTTGATTAGTCACGGCAAATAGTAGCCGACGCTCTGCTCAGAGCCCCCAACACAGCTGTTGGTGTGTCAGAGGGATAAATCACTGCTGCGAGCACGTGAACAGGGAGAGATGGGGTAAGAGGTCAGAGGTGGAGCACAGGAGTGCAACCCTGTTAAATGGTCTTATACTTGTATAGCACTTTTCTGTGCATTGCAGCACGTTCAAAGCACTTTCACACTATTTGGCCATTCACCAATTGTCACTCCCAAATTCATATCACCAAGAGCAACTGGGGGTTCAGTGTCTTGCTCAAGGACACCTCAACATGTGGACTGAAGAAGCTGGGGATCGAACCACCAACCTTCCGGTTAGGAGACGACCTGCTCTACCTCCCCGATGGCTGCAAAGACAATCCTGGTGCTGATCCTAAAGAGAAGTGGTCTTTCTGTGAGTCCATTTCATATAAATGGATTAGTTCACATGTCAGCAGAGGCTGAAAATTCAACCTGAATTTGATACACAGCCTCTTACTGTCACTATCATTAGAACAGATCATTATTGATTTTTTTGATTTGATTTGATTTATTCTTTCAAGCATGTAAAAACAGTTGATATGACATCACACATAATTTTACACATAATCCAATATCAATTTGCTTATACCTAGTACATGCTTGAATGGAGTAGGAAGAAGTCAGACTTATCCAGTCTGTTTTAATTATTTTATGTCAAAGTAGCTACAGCATTTCCTGCTGTATTTATTACAGTATATTCTCTTGCAACATGGTCCCGATCGCACAGAGTCAACTCCGACCGCTTGAGTTGGAAAATATTTTATAACTGCTGAGAAATCAGGCTGATAATGAAAATCTGCCTGGTCTCTGTGGGCTTCTTTCAGTCTGAACAAGCCGCTCTAGTGATCGGTCTAACAGGCAGAGTGCAGCTCAGTCACACAGCAGCTGAGCCCAGGTTCCTGTCTGGCATCATTTTGAATCAGACTGCAAACTTCATCCTCACGATGACAGAGCAGGGACCCCTCAGTGACACAGGAGGCTGTATGGAAAGGGGATTTTAAGGCCGTTATTGGTGCATGCTGGGGGCCTGAGCTGCCTCCTCCCCCACCTGTTCTGTCAGGCTAATTGGAAATCGCTGTGCTAAGTCCTCCATGCTTGGGGCCTGGGGCCCCTCAAATGGCTCCCTGAGGCTCCCCCCCGGCAGGAAGATGTCACAGGAGGCACAGGAAGGGAAAACAGCGCACAGCCGACCTCTCAGAGGAACTCTCTGTGCACCAGGTTTTGGGTCAGCGCCAGTCCTGACATCATCCGGTACTGGGACCCAGATGTACAGCTCTCTGGTGGTACTTTTCAGAGTGAGCCAACCAAACAGTGAGTTTTCAACAAAATCGGAAGGAGCCGTTTCCCCCCAAGATGACAAGTAAGAAATTGATGGCAGAGAGCATCAGAAGAGATGTGGGAGGACAGCAAAAGTAGAAAATAAGGTCAGTGTGGATCTGTTTAACATGTCTGACAGCCGAGGGTCCACCTGGGAACCACTGCAGAGCTTTACTGCTTCACTTTGCTGAGTTCTTCCTCTTCCTCGGACCCTCGCATCTATTAACCCTAACAGAGATTTTGTGCAGAAAGAATTCCAGCGGAGATGAGATGAAGCTAGGCAGTAGTTTCACCTCCTCCTGCCAGTTTTGTGTCCTTCAGTGAAAAAGGACTTTGATAGTTTGTGCATCCTTCCTTATGCCCCGCACATCAAAAATTACTGGGTTAAAAATGGACCAGCTGTTGTCGTTGACATGACGCAGATCCAGAAATAGGATTGAAATGTTGTTCTAAATAAAACTGTGGTTTGGCAGAGGCGTGCATGCGTTACCTTATTCATTGATGCTGTTTTGAATAGCCTGGCGCCGACTGGCGATGTGTGTATAACTGTCCTTTGGTCTTGGGTTAAAATGGACTCAGTCTAGAACACTGATGAAATACTGGTGTAACTTTACTAAGCACCAGTGTTTGTGATTTTTAAAATAAAACTATTGTTTTTTTTTTTTTTTTTACCTTAACTAAAATGTGGTTGTTTGACTCAGGGGTAAATACAACAAGGTCAAGTTTTACTTTCAAATTGTCACTAATATATTACTAGCTATACACAACGATGTGTACATGACACTTAAAAGATAAAGTATAATGAATAGAGACGTATGCATAAAAAGGTAGAGAATAACTGTTTCAAAAGTTTTCATATTTCTATTTGGTTAAATAACTAGTAACATAAACAATAACAGTGTTGCCAGATTTAAAAAGTAGCCCAATCAGAAAAGTTTTAGATTCATTTTTATTTCTATTAAACATCAAAAGTGTTCACTCATGTGAACATATACAAGCTCTTTACAAGTCTTCTCTCACAGAGTTATTATAAATAGAATAGGAAAAACATTTTGACTTTGAATTCAAATGACATTTGTGATTGACGTCATCAGTTATTGGTCGCTGTGCGTCGAGCTGAACTCGGTGCCCCGTCAGCCTCAATTGTTCTAGTCAGAAGAGGGGAGGGAGCCATTTATTGGAATGGAACCTAGATGCAGTAGGTGGAAACCATCAAAAGAAGCCAACAGTACCACAACCCGCCCCAAACATGTTTTTGATCTGCCCAGTTAAACACAAAGCTGACCCCCCCCACAACACCTCCACCCCAATCTGAAAACAATACATCCGTAGAATTGCAGTGACACATTTAATGACAACTTTTAGAAGTTATGTGTATGCATTACAGCAATGATGTTCAGTTGTATAATAAAGGCCACTTTAGATTAAACTTGTGTGTAAAATGAGTTTTTTTAATGTCGGCCCTAGTAGGACTCAGTGCTTTGCTGTATGTTAAATGGCGGTTTAATGCTTTCTTTGTCCGTTTGGAGAGTTATTCAGCACAGATGTAACAAAAATTGACATAATGAAACATATCAGTCTGCTCATGCTGATTGACCAACACTTAGAGTATGTGATCTAAACAAACAGAAAACAGGAAACATTTGCAATTAGGAAGCAGAATTTAACAAATCCTGTTGAGTAGTGGCTCAACAGGACAGAACACAAATCACTGCTCAGACAGAACTGACTGCTCCAACGTGTTCCTGTCCTTGTTTCTCCAAAAGAAAAAAAGATGAAATAGACGAGCCAGAAACGGGAAGGATGTAAAACATTATTCTAACATCAACTGGGAGCACAGTCCTGATTCCCAGATGGGTGCTTATCTTCAGGATTTTGTAGTGTTGCCAGAAAGCTCTTGTTAGAACCTGCACATGGTAATATTTTAAAACAGCTTTTGCTCTCACAGAGTCTGTTTCAGCAGCTTTCAAACACTCACTGGTTGGGAAAAAGGTTCCTTACTCCACCTGCATGTCAAACAGATATTAATGCTTCCTGTCATGGAAATTCAATCTTGTTCGAGAGTTGCTGGCTCTCTGAAGAATCAAAAACTCACAGCGATGAATCATCCCTATTTTAATTCATGCAGCAAAAAGGTCTCTTGTCTGTTTTATACACTCAGGTTACAGAAAGCATGTGATAAGATTAGGTCTAACTGTAAATGTACACTCAAGCGGTCTGCAACTGAAACCTCATTGCCTTATGTGCTGTATGTGCCTGTGACCTTATAAAATATCATCCACAGTTTCTCCCAGTTGTCCTTGTGACATCCTCCTTTTTCCTGACACAGCAACACCATACCAGCATCTCTCACTATAATATATATGAATATATATAATACATCGGATCTATCGTGTTCATTTCCTGCATTCTGAGCCACTTTTGTGGCTCGAGACTCAGATACTTCACTTCTGATTTACTGGACTTCACCACTTTTCTGAATGGAAGAGGAGGTGGAGGAGGAGGAGGAGGAAGTCTGTTTGCCTGCCTGTCAGCTGAGCTTCTGTGTGGGAGTCTGTCTGAGGAGCCAGTTATGTCTCCTCAAACATTCGAGAACAATTGTTTTCGTGTGCCAGATAGTCTGGCACGGCCTTCAGATGGAGGGAGGATGATGGAGGGCGGTACAGTGAATAGGAGGGCTGGGTGTGGGGAGCTTGTAGGAACAATACAGATCAGGGTAAGAGAGCGCTGATCTGCTGCAGGCTCAGACAGTCAACCCCCAGCAGTTGGGATCCTGCCAAAGCCAAGAGGCGGAGGTGAGAATCCAGCAATGCAGACTTTAAGGGTTTTTACTTCCTTAAATAAACAGTTGAACAGGCAGTGAGATGCATCTCTGTAGCCTCGGTTTCTTCACAAAGGCTGTAATGCCTAAGGCGGTTACAGTCAAATTCAGTGGTAC